AAAACCGAAGACTGTAGTTTAAATGTTACTGCAGCCTGGCCATTAGAAGGCCTTTGTGCACCTCCGGCAATTCCCAACATGGACTAAACCAGGAGACTCCATTAATAGAGACAGCAGATTAGAACTGAGGAAAGGACTAAACCAGCAAAAGACTGCAGACTGGAAATGGGGAAGGGATTCCAACATGGAATTGTGGACTGGACCAAGGGCTGAAGACTGGCTCTTCCTTAGAGCCTCCTGTCAGTCTAGACTGACCCATTAACCCTGGATTGGAAAGCCAATTAGATGGGGAGCTTGAAAACAAAAAGCGGAAATCAACTGAGGAACTGACCAATGACCCTTGGAAACAGCAAGAAAGACAGTGAACTTAAAAGGGTTCATGGGGTGCCACACCTGTGCTTCTTGTTGCTTCTGAATGCTATCAGAGGTTCACTTTGGATCCCATTGCTGCCACCAAATCTGTTAAAAAAACAAAAATCAAATAAATCAGCTTATTAAGTGATTATGAATCAGGCAACATCCTATCTAGCAAGTAGAGAGATGCTCTGAGTGGTACAAAATGGAAGTGGTACAAAACGGGTTTTTCTAGGCAGGAGGGTGGGGCAAGGAGGTTATTAGTACAAGAAAAGGGTCATTTCAGCCCAGGATCTCTTCTATTTGGGGAGAAGGGAACAGTAGGATTTTTATCATGCAGATGACCTCACTAGTGCTGATCTGGAAATCTCAGACTGACTGTTAAAAGGTCACATTCCTGGGATTGGTTGAGACTGTGAGCCTTGATTTGCTGTTGGGGGCGGGGGACAAATGACTCCAATTTGGGCTTTTTTAAAACAAAACAAAATACAACTAGATGCTGTTTCCAAGGTACACATCTAAAACATGAGTATAAAAGGCTGAAAGTAAAAGGATGGAAAATGGCATGCCTTGCAAATATTAGCCAAAAGAAAGGTAGTGGGTCTTCTGCTTCTGGGTAGAGAATAGGTCATGGCAGGCTAACACTCCTGCTGCAACAACTATAAAAACTAGATAAACTTTAAAAATCCATATTTTAAAAATCTTTGGAGAGCTGTGGAGCAATAAGAATTAGATGCACTAAAATTTAAGTGGGAGAGGACCACCTAGTTGCAGTGATGATCATTAGTTGTTTTCTTTCTTGGTGGGCTTTGCTGAAATGCCTTAAGTGCTGAGGGACCAAAGACTTTCTAAGCTCTCAATCAAAAGTCTAAGAGGGCCATGCCTGAGAAACAGGGATAATTAATATTTTAAAGAAAATAGTGGAAAGATGGACAATCCTTGATGTGGGGCCACGAGCGAATGGTCAAGAAATAATTCTTGAGATGTTTTAAGTGTAAAAAGGTGCATTTTCTATAACATGAAGCTGGTGGTTATATGCTTAGGCTTAAGGGGGCAGGGATGTGCAGGGAGTATTAGATCATAAATGTCTTCTTCAAATTTCTACTTGTAAAACTGTCACATTTCTCTGGTGCTTATCATTCAGCTCAATATTAACTATTGGAGAGATGTACAGGCAGTCATGAGACCATTTAAGAATGTAGCAACCAGCACATATTTGATCTTTATTGGAACTATGCAGGCTATAGGTCAGCCTTCTGGGCTAAAGGTGAACATTTTTCTGCTTCTATCCCTCATCATACTGATAAGAAGATGGAGAATTACAGTTGGAAAATGGAATCTATTTTTAAAAACTCAAATTGTCATTCTAAAATATTGGAAAATACAACATCTAAAATTAAAAACTCATTGGATGAGTATAATTTCAGGCTAAACACTGCGAAAGACAGGATTAGGGTCAAGCAAATATATCCAAACTGAAGCATAGGAAGGAAAAAAATGAAAAGAACAGAATAGAGTATAAGAGACAGGTGAGAGAAACACTCTCAAATGATACAGCATAAATATAATTGGAGTCCTTGGAGGAGAGCATGTAGAAAATGGGACAGGAAAAAAATTGAATGTCTAAAAATTTTCCAAAACTGATGAACCATGTCAAGTCACAGATTCAATAAGCTAAGTATACCCAAAGCATATTAAGTACAAAGAAAATTGCATGTAGGCAAATAATCAAACTTAAGAAAACTAAGGATAAAGAGAAACTATTAAAAACCAGAGGGAAAAATATACATTGCCTCCATAGGAACAACAAGATTGATAGCCAACTTTTCTAACTACTAAAACAACACTGTCCAATAGAACTTTCTGTGATGATGGATATGTTGTAGATCTTCACTAATATGGTAACTACTAATCATATGTGGCCATGGAGTACTTGAAATGTAGCTAGTGTGATTGAAGAATTGAATTTTAATTGTATTAAATTTAATTAGTTTAAATAGTCACACATAGCTGGTGGCTACCCATTTGACAGCACAATACTAGAAGATAACAGAATGATATCTTTAAAATGAAAAATACTGAAAGAAAAATGCTAACCTAGAATTCTAAACCCAGAGAAAACATTTCAAAATGAAGTTGAAATAAAGATGTTTTTAGAAAAACAAAAGCTGAGAGACTTTGACACAATAGACTGGTGCTAAAAAGTGCTGGGACATTTTAATATCCATATGGAAGAACATTAAATTGGATCCCTAACTTAGACCATACAAAAAACCCACTCACATTGGGCTATAAGTCTAAATGTAAGCATAAAACTATAAATCTCTTAGAAAGAAAAATAAGAGACTATCTTAATAGCCTCAGGGTAGGGAGAGAATTGACATAGAAAAAGCACTAACCATGAAGGATTTTTTTGATAAATTTCAGTACATTAAAATTATGAACTATGCTCATCAAAATATTAAAAAAAGAATGAAAAGATTATCCACAGAATGTGAGATATTTGCAGCACAAAAGGCCAACAAGGATTCATATCAAGACTGTATAGAGGGGGTGCCTGGATGGCTCAGTCGGTTAAGCGTCTGCCTTCGGTTCAGGTCATGATCCCAGGGTCCCGGGATCGAGCCCTGCATCGGGCTCCCTGCTCCATGGGAAGCCTGCTTCTCCCTCTGCCCCTCCCCCTGCTTGTGTTCCCTCTCTTACTTTATCTCTCTCTGTCAAATAAATAAATAAAACCTTTTAAAAAAAAGACTGTATAGAGTACTCTTTGATTCAATAAGAAAAAAAGATTACCCAATAGAAAAATTGGCAAAAACAACAATAACATCAACTTGGATAGGCATTCCAAAAACAGGAAATTCAAATACCTAGTACTCACAAGAAAAGATGCTCAACGTCATTATTAATCAGGGAAATGTGAGATAAAACCACAGAGACACTGCTGTGCAACCACTAGAATGGGCAAAAGTGTAAAAACACAGTATCGAGTGCCTGTAAAGATTTGGAGTAAATGGAACTCTCATACATTGCTGACAAAAATGGAAAATGGCACAGCCACTTTGGAAAACAGCATGGTAGTAGCTACCAAAGCTGAACATATGTATACTCAGCAATTCCACTCCTAGATATGTGCCCCACAGAAATGCATATATACATTCACCAAAAGATGTGTATAAGACGGTTCATAGCCAGGGAGAAAAAAGAAGATTCATAGCAGGAACAGGACTATGTTAAGCATTAAGTTAGAAATGACTCGAATGTTCATAATTTTGGTATATTCACACAATGGAATACAAACTGTAGCTGCACACGACTATGTAGATGAATTTTACAACCATAATGCTGAGTGAAAGAAACCAGAAACAAAAGAATATACAATATGGTTCTATTTACATCAAAAACAGGCAAAACTAAACTGTATTCTTTAGGGAAGTGTACATAGCGGTAAAATTGTGAAGAAAAGCAAAGAAATAATTATCATAAACATCATAATGGGGGTTACCTTTAGTGGAGAGGAAGTATGTCATTGGAAAGGTACAGAGTGAGCCTTCCGTGTTGCTGGTAATGTTCTTCTTGATCTGGATGGTGGTTACATTTTTATACCAAAACATATTTTATGTACTTTATTGTATAATTTTAGTTCACAATTTTAACAGATTTTTAAAAAGATTTTATTTATGGGGCGCCTGGGTTAGGGGAGTGTCAGGGAGAAGGAGAAACACACTCCCCATGAGCAAGGAGCCCAAAGCGGGGCTCAATCCCAGGACCCTGGGATCATGACCTGAGCTGAAGGCAGATGCTTAATCGACTGAGCACCCAGGCACCCCTTAACAGATTTTCTAACTTTTTTTAAATTTGTTTGTTTATTTATGTCATCTCTACACCCAACGTGGGGCTTGAACTTATAACCCTGAGATCAAGAGTCACAGGTTCTACTGACTGAGCCAGCCAGGTGCCCCCAGGTGTTTTTTTAAGTAAAGAAAAGTAGTCCAAGGATTGAACCCTGGGGCTGTCTTATATTGAGAATATGTTTATGAGTCCTACATACATTTAACATTCAACAAATATTTTTTGACCACCTACTATGTGCCAGACACTTGTTCCAGCTGCTGGGAATACAGCAGTGGACAAAACAGACAAAATCCCTGCCTTCATGGAACTTACATCCTAGCGAAGCCTGGAGAGAGATGTCAGGAAGATGGGGTGGTTAACTATGCAAAATGTTGCTTAGTTGTCCAAAAAGATGAAGACGTAACAAAATTGATTATCAGCTTTAATAAGCCACTCACATGATTTGGATAGTGTCTCAATATTAGTGTCTCAATATGGATGATCTTCATCTAGATCTCTTTTGTGAGCTCTCAACCTCTGTATTTGCCAATTTAATTTACATAGCTGTCCCATGTGTTTAAAACTGTATACCCCCACCTACTTCTCCAGGGTTGCCTATTCTCAGTGAGTTGCATCACCATCCATCCACTTGCCCAAATCAGAAACCTGGAAGTACCTTTAATTCTTCTTTCTCCCTTCTCTGCTCCAATTCATCATCAGTTCTATGACAAGTGTCTCAAATACAGGGAGAGCAAGAATGTGAGGTGTTTTTGGTCCATGAAGATATTGCTTTTCCTCTGCTTTTTTTTTCCCAGGGCTCAAGGTATGGATGTCCCTCAGTTCAAGAAGGTGGTTTTCCAGGAATTTACTGATGGATCCTTTACTCAGCCCTTATACCGTGGAGAACTAAACGAACACTTGGGACTCGTGGGACCATATATAAGAGCAGAAGTTGAAGACAATATCATGGTGAGTTGAGGACAGTGAAAGTTATAAGAAAATTAATCCTACATATATATTTTTGTTTCTGATTATAAAAATAATGTATTCTTACTTTTGAAGAATTTTAAAGTATAGAAAATAAAGAAGTTGAAAAATAATCCCATAACTACCATTTTGGTGTATGTTCTCTTTGTCTTATGTATTCTTCTCTTTACGTGTTCAAAATTATACAGTGTGTAATTTTACCTTTTCTTTTTTTTAAAGATTTATTTATTTATATTAGAGAGAAAGAAAGAGCAAGAGTAGGAGGGGCAGAGGGAGAGGGAGAGAGAATCCCAATGCAAGGCTGAATCCCACCACCCCGAGATCACAACCTGAGCCGAAACCAATTGTCAGAGGCTTAACCGACTGTGCCACCCTTCTACCTCTTCTTTTTTGACTAAATATCATATTGTAAATATTTCTTATGTCATTAGAAAGACTCTCTAAATATCTTTTTTTAATGATGGCATAATAGTCTATTACATGAATTTTTGGTATACTTAGCCATTTACTTTGAACAACTTTTAAATAGTTTGTTATGTTTTCACTAGTTTGATAATGCTGCATTCACAACCCTTTTCCTAGGACAAAATTCCAGAAGTGCAATGTACATGAACATTTTAAGACTTTCTCTAATGAAAAAAAAAAAAAAAAGACTTTCTCTAATGAATTATCTGTTAATGTCCTTTGCACATTTGACCTTCTGAGGGGGTACTTATCAATTTATATTACCTTATATGCTATACATTTTCCAAGTTTGTCATCTTTTAATTGTATTTATAGCGGTTTTTTGAAATAAAACAGGTTTGAATTATTGGTAGTAACCCATAAATCTTTCCTTTATGACACATACCTTTTATGTTTATAAAAATCCTTCCCTATAGAAAGATTTTTTTTCTTAAAATCACTTATACTTTCTTCATCTTTATTTTACAGTTTAATTGCTTAACATTTAACCTTTTAATCCCTAAGTAATTCCTGTAGACTAGAAGTGATTTTGGTGCATTGTGTGAGCCAAAAATGAAAGTAGTTTTATTCTTTTCCAAAAATAGTCATCCATTGGCCCAATTGATTATTTACATTAAGGATATAGAAGGATCTAAAATTATGGGATTGTGAGCAATTCTTTTTCTGTTTTGGTTATTTTAGTTTACATATGTCCTATGAAACATGTATAATTTTTTGAAATCTGAAGTCTTTTTTAAAGATCATATGCTTCTTCTTTGCCGATTCGGATGCCTTTTAATTCTTTTTGTTGTCTGATTGCTGAGGCTAGGACTTCTAGTACTATGTTGAACAGCAATGGTGAGAGTGGACATCCCTGCTGTGTTCCTGACCTTAGGGGGAAAGCTCTCAGAAAAATGAAGGGGGGGAAATCGGAGGGGGAGACGAACCATGAGAGACTATGGACTCTGAGAAACAAACTGAGGGTTCTAGAGGGGAGGGGGGTGGAGGGATGGGTTAGCCCGGTGATGGATATTAAGGAGGGTACGTACTGCATGGAGCACTGGGTGTTACACGCAAACAATGAATCATGGAACAATACATCAAAAACTAACGATGTACTGTATGGTGATTAACATAACATAATAAAATAAAATTAAAAATAAATAAATAAATAAAGATCATATGCATTCATCCTGGAATTGTCATAAGAACCATATGTGTTAGGGTGCCTGGGTGGCTCAGTCGTTAAGCGTCTGCCTTCGGCTCAGGTCATGATCCCAGGGTCATGGGATCGAGCCCCGCATCAGGCTCCCTGCTCCGAGGGAAGCCTGCTTCTCCCTCTCCCACTCCCCTTGCTTGTGTTCCTGCTCTTGCTATCTCTCTCTCTCTCTGTCAAATAAAAAAAAAGAACCATATGTGTTAAATCTTGGGCTTATGCTCTCTTAAAACCCCTGGGGTGATATTTTCCCTTTTACTTTTCAGTTGCTTTTAAGTATTTAGGAATTTTCTCTTTTGCAACTTTGAGTTCATGCTTTAATATTTTAGAGTTCAAAAATTCCTCAGTTTCAAAAAAAAAAAAAAATTCCTCAGTTTCCTCCATAGATAGACCCTTAGGTTTGGTCCTGACAACACCCGTCCTCTGTACCACTTCCTTTGGGTATTAAGAACTTGGATAGGGTGCCTGGGTGGCTCAGTCGTTAAGTGTCTGCCTTCAGCTCAGGTCATGATCCCAGGGTCCTGGGATCGAGCCCCGCATCGGGCTCCCTGCTCAGCGGGCAGCCTGCTTCTCCCTCTCCCTCTGCCTGCTTGTGTTCTCTCTCTCAGTCTCTCTCTCTGTCAAATAAATAAATAAAATCTTTTTAAAAAAATAATTTGGAAAAACTCAAAAATAGGCATTACTATTAGGGATGTGAACCCTAAGCCAAGGACTTTATATGATCCTAAAACATAATACTCGAATTCTTTTTTAAATTTTGTATTTAATTTTTCTCTGCAGGTAACTTTCAAAAACCAGGCCTCTCGTCCCTACTCCTTCTATTCTAGCCTTATTTCTTACGAGGAAGATCAGAGGAAAGGAGCAGAACCTAGAAGAAAGTTTGTCAACCCTAATGAAACCAAAATTTACTTTTGGACAGTGCAACATCATATGGCACCCACTAAAGATGAGTTTGACTGCAAAGCCTGGGCTTATTTTTCTGATGTTGATCTGGTAAGCACTGGCCACTTACTGGTTTAAAAGAAATGGACTTCGTGTTATCTGCTAAGAATTTTGCTATTTATTGTAAGCTTAATGGGAAGCTTTCAATAGGAGAGGTGCCATCATTTTTGTGTTTGAGAACTATCACTCTGGAATCTACTAAACAGGAAGGATTGTACTATGGGAAGATAAGGAGTGGGTTAGAGCGGCATAAAAGTTGATAAGAAATCTACGCTGGTTCATAGGTGAGGGACCTTATATTCATAGGATTGATGTGTTCTCTCTCAGGAAAAAGATGTGCACTCAGGCTTGATTGGACCCCTTCTGATCTGCCGCAGCAACACACTGAACCCTGCTCACGGGAGACAAGTGACAGTGCAGGAATTTGCTCTGTTTTTCACTATTTTTGATGAGACTAAGAGCTGGTACTTCACTGAAAACCTGGAAAGGAACTGCAGAGCTCCCTGCAATATCCAGAAGGAGGATCCCACTTTTAAAGAAAATTACCGCTTCCATGGTAATATATCCCACTCCCAATTATTACTCAGTGTGGAATGAAGCATGCAGTACAACAAAGGAGCCTGGAGCCTGAGGCTTGGACAGTGTATGAATTGAGCTTATATGTATGGGAGTGGAATCCTCATAGGAATCAATATTTTTTACTGGAGTAGAGGGAAAGAAACTTCTGTAACAGATTTCAACAGCCTTTTCTGTGTTCTCCTCCAGCAATCAATGGCTATGTGAGGGATACACTACCTGGCTTAGTAATGGCTCAGGATCAAAAGATTCGATGGTATCTGCTCAGCATGGGCAGCAATGAAAACATCCATTCTATTCATTTCAGTGGACATGTGTTCACTGTACGGAAAAAAGAGGAATATAAAATGGCAGTCTACAACCTCTATCCAGGTATGAGCTAATTTGTACTCTTTTTTTTCTACCTACTGTACTTGAATGCTTACTTTAATTGGTCTAGGCACTGGGGAAGCAATCCGTGAACAAAGCACATAAAGTCCCTGATCTCAGGTAACTTACTTTTTCAAGTAACTTTACCCTACAGAGATGTAATAAATAAATTATCCAATAAACATGATAATTTCAGATACAGATAATGTGCTATAAAGGAAATAGAACAGAAAAAAATGGATAATTAATGTTGTAGCACTTGCCTGGGAAAAGGGGATTTTCCCCCATCTCAAATCCCACACAGCACTAGTAGTTATCCAGAGTGATTTGTTTATGTCTGTAACCAGTATATTGATTAAGCACTACTCACAATATTGATCAAAACACAGCTTTATTTTAGCTTTCCACTGTCCCTTTAAAACAGGTTTAATAGTGGGAGCAAACTTCCCGTTTCTGTGTAAAAATTCCAATAAGTTCAGCGACTTTTCTGCTCACTCTTAAGTAATAAACACCCAGCAGTCACTTTACATCACAAATATAGTTCAAATCCAGAATTGCAATGTCCACTCCAAGATGTCTACACTGGGAAAGGGAGGTATGGTTGAGTCTTCTCTTCCTGTACCTGGCTGCTGCTTCAGTAAATGATAGGACAGTTCTTATCTACTTACAACTGGCACCTTTATTCTAGGTGGTCACTTGTGACTCATTCCTCAGTTTCTTGCTGCTGGGGTTACTTTAGCCCTGAAGGCAGCCCTGGTGGACTAGGTCCACGAGGACCTCACCCTGACTTCCTTTTCCCAGGGAGCTCACATCTGGTCGATGGGCGAAAAAAAAAAAAACCTTTGGCTCTGAAAAACCCTGAAAGTGCAGTGGCTTTCTCCTGTCTCTCCCATTTCCCAGGGGTCAGGGCTATCAGAACTCAATCCCCAGTACCTCCAAACTGGAGGGGTCACATAGCAAGCATTTTGGCTTTGAGGGGTCCAAGAGTGGAAGAACTGACTTAGGTAGATTTCCTTTGATGTTCTGCATAAACCAATGTATCTCATGCTTTTTCAGTAAAATGAAATAGTTTTTGTTCCTTTTTTTTTTGATAAGGTGTTTTTGAGACTGTGGAAATGCTACCATCCAAAGTTGGAATTTGGCGGATAGAATGCCTTATTGGCGAACACCTACAAGCTGGGATGAGCACTCTTTTTCTGGTGTACAGCAAAAGTAAGTAGCACTTCAGCCTATTTCTAAACGGCTTTCCTCCTTCCTAGGATGGCTGCTTTTGTCAAGAAATAAATACAAGCTCACAGTCATTAGCAAATCTACAATGAATATTGCTGGTAGAAATCAGCAGAGTCCTCAGAGAAGGGCAGATATGTTTGAAGCTTTGAACAGTTTGAACCTGAAGCTCTAAATATTTAACAAACTGGTGCTAAAAAGTAGCTTAATTCTCACAACTTTGTGAAGCTCCAAGATCTCCAAGAGCAAAATTTGAAACTGAATTTTGGTTCAGTTACCAAAGATAACTTACAAATATGGCTTGGAAGAGTTCAAAATTTAACCCTAAACAAGTAAGAGAACCACTGAGTTCTTCAGCTGCAGAATGTGGAAGGTTCTAGCACCTTCCTATTAGAGTGAATTAAATGACATAGATAGTACAGTAAAATATTTAGTACAGTTCTCAGCAAATAGTAAACAATAAAAAATGTTGACCATTTGTTTGTGTTCTCCCATTTTCATTGGCTTGCATTTGTGAAGCTGAATTTATGTACTGCTAGCTATCATGCTCCTCTCCTTTGATTTCAGAGTGTCAGACTCCACTGGGAATGGCTTCTGGACGCATTCGAGATTTTCAGATTACAGCTTCAGGACAATATGGTAAATACCATTATTTTGTCTCCAAAAACTGGGCTGATTATATCTTTTTTTATTTCTGTTGGAGAGATTTAGATAGCCCATCCATCTCCATGCTTCTATTAATTTTACTCCATAAGTGCCTCTTAAATCCATTTTCTCTTCTCTGATCCCTACTGTTCAAGCTACTATCATTTCTCATTACCACCTCCTTATTCCCTAGTGTTCCTGCATTCCCTAGTGCTCCCCTTGAGTCCATTGTCTTCAGTGTGGCAGGAAGCTACACTTTTCTATGAGCAGTGATAGTAAAGCTTGAATATGATCTATTGACAGTTCTCAAATATTGCTTTAGAGCAACAGTGAGCAAACTATGGCCTACAGGCCAAATCTAGCCCACCGCCTGTTTTTATATAGCCTTCAAACTAAGAATTATTTTTCTAGTTTTAAGTGGGCAGAAAAAGAAGAAGAATGTCTCATGACATGTGAAAATTATGTGAAATTCAAATTTCAGTGTCTGTAAATAAAATCTTACATTGACACATACAGCTCTACAACAACAGCTGAAACCAGATGATCTGCAAAGCCTAAATTATTTACACTCTGGCCATTTACAGAAAAAGGTTTGTCAACCCCTGTTTTAGAGGGAACAAAATGCCCTTTTAAAACAAGGCCTGATGGGACACCTGGGTGGCTCAGTCAGTTAAGCGTCTGCCTTCAGCTCAGGTCATCATCTCGGGGTCCTGGGATTGAGCCCCATGTCAGGCTCCCTGCTCAGCGGGGAGTCTGCTTCTCCCTCTGCCCCTCCCTCCTGCTCATGTGAGCTCTCTCTCTCAAATAAATAAAATCTTTAAAAAAAGAAAAGAAAAAGGCTTGAGAGTTATATGCCAAAATAGTATTATTTTTCTCTAGGCAAAAGGATGATTTTTTTTAACTTTCATTTTTACTTACGTTTTATTTTTCATTTTCTAACTTTTCTACAAGGAACATACATTGTGTAATGAAGAAACAATGATAGCATTTTGTAGTACTGGTAACACATTCCAGTGTCACCTAATTAGAGGTGCTAACAATAAACGAAATTATTAAATTTAGAAAATAAAATACTATGCTTTATGCCTTTATCTTCTCTACACCTAGGCTTAGCCTTTCTCAAGAGAGCAATTTTAGGGGCACCTGGATGGCCCAGTCTGTTAACTGACTCTTGATTTCAGCTCAGATCATCATCTCAGGGTCCTGGGATCAAGCCCCACGTCGGGCTCCCTGCTCAGCAGGGAGTCTGCTTCTCCCTCTCCCTCTGCCCCTCCCCCACCCCATTCCCACTCATGTGCTCCCTCCCTCTCTCTCTCTCAAATAAATAAATAAAATCTTAAAGGAAGAGAGAGCAATTTTATTCCTAAGTGTCTAGGACCAACACAGCTGAATCTAATCTCTCTCCTTTCTTGGGCAAAGGACAGTGGGCCCCAAAGCTGGCCAGACTTCATTATTCCGGATCAATCAATGCCTGGAGCACCAAGGATCCCTTTTCCTGGATCAAGGTTAGAAAGTGCATCACATTCAATCGCAACATGTATTCCTCTTGCAAGCTCAAAACAAAAGTCATTTTTATCAAACTCCAGGTAACCAACAGGGAAAGAACTGAAGAATAGAATAGCTTCTGATTTGTACAAAAACAGTCAAGAATGAAGAATAGGATATTTGGGAATAGAATCAAGTATGCTGATTTGTTTGTTAGTCCAATCTGGTAAACTAACTTGGAGCTGGTGACTGAAACAGTGTCTTTAGGCTTACTCAGTTTCTTTTTAAATGACTAAATATTTCAAATTTTCTCACTTTCCCATTTCCTCTAGAGCAGCGCTGTCCAGTAGAAATGTAATTCGAACCACAAATGCAAACCACATGTGTAATTTTATATTTCCTAGTAGCCACATTTAAAAAGAAACATGTGAAATTCATTTTAATGATATGTTTCATCCAACATATCCCAAGATTTTATCAAGTGAACATGGGGTCAGTCAGGGCTCTGGCCCCTTCAAGGGCATACATATGGGGACTTGTGGGTCCCTTCCATGCTACATGAGAGCTGAGTGCCAGCTCAGCCTCTCGGCCTAACTGCAAGAGTTGTTCCCTCTAGAGCCCGAACGTGCCTCCCACCTCTGGTACTTACAGCCCGAAGAGGGGTACTGCAGACACGTTTTACCACCTACTTTCCCCACCTCTGTCCACTTTTCATTGTGCACCAGCTTTCTTTCCTCTTCTGAGTTGACCAAAGACATTCCCCTACGTATTTTCCTCCTTTGCAAGATTGCATCTACTCCTCTGTTTTCTCTTGAGGTTAAAATAATAAATAGGAATCAGGGAAAGATAAACCAATGTCCCATCAGCACTGCCAGTTATGACTCAATTTGAACTGACTGTTCACGAATTCCTAAGTATTTTTGTTTCTTTGTGAAGCTGCCAAACCACATTTTCTGACCTTGTATTTCTCTGGTTTTCACTTTCAACCTTACATGTATCCCTGGGTAGTGGACACTGTCATCTACTTGGGTGCCCTGCATCTGTCATTCCATTTATTTATTTAGATAGCATTGTCATTTCCATTTGGGGAATTCTATCTCCCTCACTGGATACAACCTAATGAGACTAGTAAATAGAGTGCCTTTTCCATGCCTAGCCAAAGAACCTGAGTAATACACCCTGTTAAGTTTCCACTTACTAGATTTGGCCCATTGTTCCAGCTTGTCAAGCTTCTGTCTCCCAAAGAATTTCTTAGTCTTCCCAGTTTCACATAATCTACTGCTTGATCAGTAAACGTTTTTATACTTTAGCAAATTCATGATCAAAATACTGAAGTAGACAGGGCTTCCTTACTGTGTGCTTTAAACAAGCCCAAGCTATCAAATCCTTACTACACTGTTATTATCATCCTCATTTCAGATAAGAAAGCTGAAGCAAAGAAAAGTAACTTGCCCCAAGTCATACAGCCAATAAGTGGCTGGGCCAAACTTCAAACTGTGATAGTTGGGCTCCAGAGGCCTAATTTGTAATCATTATACTATACTGTTTCTAGAATGCTCCCTTTAGGTTTATAATCATCTGTTAACTGCCACAGTTTGCTTTTGGTAATTGAACCAGTTACAAATCCACCTAGTTGTATTATCACCCAATCTGTATTAAATCACCTCATCCTCAAGGTGTTTTTTACCATCTGTCCTACTAAAGCCCAGGTATACATTTTCTTGATCTGGTAACTTTATAAAGTAAATACCCCAGAGAAATAAAGAATTATGGTGACTTAACAAAAAAAAAGAAAGAAATGGTTCTAGGGGGCCAGGGAGGCAATCAGAGATGTCTAGCTGCAATGTTTGTATTTGTACACTGAGTGACTCATTATTGCTTTGCTTACTTCCTTGTAGAGAGATATGTCTTGTCACAGTCAAATACATGGCTGGATACACAGGTGAAAATGTTGACTCTGTAATTGCCAAATTCCTCCAAGTTTGCCAAGAATTCATCAGTTACAGAATGTAGGTGAAAAAGGTGGCTGGCCAGACTTTATTAAAACTGCTAGGGGCGCCTGGGTGGCTCAGTCGTTAAGCATCTGCCTTCGGCTCAGGTCATGATCCCAGGGTCCTGGAATCGAGCCCCGCGTCGGGCTCCCTGCTCAGCGGGGAGCCTGCTTCTCCCTCTCCCTCTGCTGCTCCCCCTGCTTGTGTTCCCTCTCTTGCTGTGTCTCTCTCTGTCA